ATTGTGAGAAGGTCATTTGAACATCTAAAACAACACTTTTGGAAAAAGTTATGGGTAATTTCATCATTGATCAATAGGCACATTAGTAATTGGAAGTTATCAGTTAAAATAATAGCTACTTCAAAAAAACTTGGCTGTGTATCTGATTTGATATTTTACTTTTGTTGTTCATATTGCTAAAATAGTTTAAGGGTTAAAAAATTATGTGGTACAGAAAATTGCAGCTATAATGCCTTTCAGATTGATGACAGTTTTAAGTATAATTTCACAATTCATTTTCAAATGAATACTGTAAGGTCTGAGAAATCTCTGCTTTAATCCTGCAATCTGCAGCATCCTGCCCCCACTTTTTCTTTTTTTAGCTTGGTGTGGTGATGTGAGGATTTGTGCCACTGGGCAGAGTCTAGTCCTGGATATCTGCATTTATTGGGCTTATTTCTCCTTAGGGTTGAAGTCTCTCCTGGTGATAAATGTGGTGCTGAGAAAGCTGCACTCACTCTCCCAGAGACTAGGGCACAATTCAGTGAACTGTAAAAGTAATGCAAAATGACAATTAAACTAGGGCATTCTCTGGTACCTTGGGGGCCTGACAAAGTGGAAGCATTTGACTTCTGATGTGCCACACTTATTAACACAGAAACCTAATAACATTTCACCCACTCCAAAGTCTCACTGAAAACCTTAGCCATTGTAAGGGAGCTGAGAACAGAAAGCAATAAGACTCCTAAACAGATAAAAAAAAAAGCATGCAAAGAACAAAACCCAAAACATTGCACTAACGTTCATGCATTGAAGACCATATAATTTCTCTCTTAGAACAATATCCCAGCTTTTGACTCCAAACTCATTTTCTAGACTATTTTTACAAATATAGTTATGTAATTTCCAAAACACAGTAGAGAAATGGAAGAGGAATTGCTTTTACTTATACTAACAGCACTGAGAAGTAACAGCACTGAGTTGCAAGTTGATTGAGATGTATATGTTGAAAATTAAAGATAAGTACCCCAAAGAACAAAATATGGGGATTATTGAAGGTATAGACAAAGTCTATGTGGTACAATGACATGTTCAGAAGCATATATACTTCTTTGTTGTATTTAAGAAGGGTATCTACGTGATACATTTAAGAAATAAGGCAGAATGCTTAGGGTTTTAAATTAAAGTTTCGGTTCTTAAAGGGGAAAGCCCTAAGCTATCTGGAAAACTGAACTATCCAGAAATATTTCTTCTTTGAGGGTTTTAGACAAGTCAATGATTTTAGTAAACCTAGGCCAAGTCAGAATCTTGCTTCCAATTAATTTGTAGGAAAAACAAAATGGAACATAATTTCTAACTAGAGAAATGATTTGCAAGAATTATGCTAAGTTATAGAAGTGCAATGTTTATTTGCCATCAAGAATAGAAATAAAAGTTTGTTTTAGTTTCATTTTCAGTGTCAAAATTAAGTTTTCCAGAAACAAATGTTGTTCATGTCTTTTTGCTGTGTTTCTGTGTTAACCTGGTTTGTCTTATTAAAGACAAAGACATTTCCCAGTGAAATTAATGTGACATTTAAAGAAAATTTCCTCTCTCGAATGTTTCATGTTATTTGCCATTTAGAATACTTAGAGATGGGATTGGAATAATGTCAAGCAAATTTTGATTAAATAAGGCTAACCATGAGCCAATACATTCATGAAAAAAAAGAACTTTTACTTTTTCCAGAAAAATGCATTTTTCTGTAGTTCTTTATCTTATATTAAGATGACTTCCATAGATAATATAGTAGAAAGTATCATTTTCTACAAATCTATGTTAAAAATCTATGACCAGTTCTCTGTTTATGACTTTATTCTTTTGCCCTGGAGAAATGTAACAATTACCTGAGAAACTTAAAAAAGAAAAAAAAATTAGTGCCTGGGCCCAAATCCATGTCAATTTTCTCAGAACTTCTTCAAGTGGATCCTGTCACCAGTACATTTTAAGAATGCCCCTCAGATAATTGTAATGTGCTGAGAACCACTTGCCTAAGACATGTTAACTGTTCATTAAGATAAGCTTGTTTCCATTTTTATGGTGGTTTGAATGTCTCTTTTTTTTTGGTCGATCATGGGGCTTGAACTCTGGGCTTGAGAGCTGTCCCTGCGCTCTTCAGCTCAAGGCTAGCGCTCTACCACTTGAGCCGTAGTGCCACTTCTGGTTTTCGAGTAGTTTATTGGAGATAAGAGTCTCACGGACTTTCCTGCCCAGGCTGGCTTTGAACCGCGATCCTCAGCTCTCAGCCTCCTGAATAGCTAGGATTACAGGCTTGAGCCACCAGCGCCCGGCTGAATGTCTCTCTTTGCTCCACCCAAAGTGAGAAAAATTTATTCTTTCAGTACACAAGATTGAGTTTGAGTACTTGGCCCCAGTATGAGATGGAATACTTGATGCCAGAAAATATAAACCCAGAATATATTAAGCCATCACTGGCTAGTTAGCTCAGTGGTTTGAAATGTAGTATTGTTGCATAGGTTGTATGATCACTGCAACCAAGCTGTTTCATAAAGAGACTTGAGACTAATTTTAAAGGCAAAAGACAATGTGTGGAGCAGCATAGTCATATTCACTCTGAGAAAGTTGGTTCTAGGGAACTGCCTCACTGACTGCTCCTATCAATTCCATTAGGGTGCAGTATGGAACACCAGTTTGTGATAGTTTGTGTTGAATTTGGGAGTGGACTATTTGCATTTGAAGTTCAGCACAAGAGCAAGCTTTTACAGTAAAGAGAAAGGAAGGTGATAAATTTGAATGTTACTCTTAAAACCAGTAGAAGATCATGCCTGGTGCTAGGGTTATCCAATTTATAAACCTTTGGGAGTGGGGTAATTGTTAAGGTCATCATAATCAAGCCCTCTAGGCCTGTCTCTCTTCTTAACTCATTATCTGGGAGTGGCTAACGTCATGGAGAGATACATTATTCCACTAGGATCAAAAAGTGGTAGTCATCAGAGTTCAAATTTGCATTCTTTTTCTTTGTGGAAATGTGATTCTGGCAGCTGTTGAGGTCAGGTCTCCACAGAGCTCCCTATGTGATTCATAGTGCCCACAGGTTGGTTGCCCTCATATGCAAAGCTATGTCAAATTTTATACCTGAAAATTAGCTTTTCTTAACATGATAACAGCTTGGGGAGTTGCTTGCACTTTTCCTACAAAGCCAATATCATCTAGCTCACTTTCTTCTCCTTTTTGACATGTCTACTTACCATCCTCCTTCAAAAATTATTTGGTAAGTTTTGAGTCTGTGATGGACATGAATGCCTTATTGTTTTATTACCTGAACCAGGTCAGATTCCTGTCCTACTTAGGATTTCAAATTCTACAAAAAGCAAGTAATAAGGATTCTCTAACTTAACCTGTGAACATGGATGAAGTACTTTAGATTCCTGTTTCTATTGTCTGTATTCCACAGGGGAGAAAACTGAGGTACATAAAGGTTAAGAAATGTACCATACAAAGGAAACAAGAAAATCACAGAGTACAGTAAAAACAACAACAACAAAGAAAGACCTTTTGTGTCCATATATTGGGGTTCATTTCACTTAGCATCATCTTATATGGCCATATGCACATAGATTTTGAGCTTTTCTGCTCATCTAATAAAATTATCCTAGACATATACTAATTATTGAAAATGAGGGAAACCAGGAGGCCTATATTTCTTTGGGTCTGGCTTACTTTTTTAATTTTCTTTTTAATACTCTCTCCTTTCTTTATTTATCCACCTGCTGCTTTCTATCTACCCTAGGTGTTTAGGATCCTTAACCTGACTGTTGGCTGTTTAGTGTCCGTGTCTTAGCTGGATTTGCTATTACTGGTCTCATTTTCTCCTCTATCAAACTGTGAACTCCTTGAAAGCAAGGAACTACATCTTAGAGCCTAGTGCAGTTAATGTCTGACAGGTAGTCATCTGAAAGGAATCTGCTGTTTTGTTCAAAAGACAGCTATTGTGCTTTCTTCTCCAGGCACTTTCAGTTGAAATGATTGCAGAAGGCCCCTGTGGAATGATGGGTATAGTGGAGGCTTGCTGGTGGAATGGCAGGAGAGTGGAGAGGATGTGTTTGGGAATTTTTCTTTTCATACAATGGTTTGAGAAGAGTTGTACTTCACTATTGGATGTAAGGTCCACTTTATTAGTACATTGACTTACTTCGGTGTAGACTCTTCCCTGGCTTCCACTTCTCTTAAAACTAACACACACCCCCACCATTAATCCACCTAGCCTCTGGGTGCTCATAAGCTGTTTTCCCATCTCTTTTATCTGGCAGGTATTCTGCATTTGTTTCTGTAATGCCATTGCTCCAGCAGTCTACTGTAACCAGATTAGACAGTGGTATTTTAATGATAGGAGCTGAGACAGGGGTTTGCTTGCAAACTTCATGTTTCACATGAAAGGCTTTGGCATCCCCTGTGGACTGCCCTTCACCCTGTTGTAGACATAATACTTGTTTGCCTTTATATCTGTGATAAAATGAAAGCTTTCCTGCATAACTAGTACTGAGAAAATGTCTTAAAACAAAGGAAAGTGCAGAGTTTAAGTCCACAGTAGGGGATTACCTTGCTTGAATTTCCATATCTTTGGAATAAATACTTTAACATGTTAATTATCTATTACTAATAAGAATACCTTTGAACTCCAATCAATTTGATGGGCATAGAATAGTCTTCACTGGGGAATGGTGAAGCAATTAGTTTCTGTAAGTATTTTGAGTTATATTGTCTCCTCCATAAATGGCTACATGGTCAGAAGCCAGCCATATTCTAGGGAATGTTTGTGTCCGGTCCTCTCTGGTCTGCAGGGGTGAGGTGCTGCCTTCATAGAGCATCCAGGGAACCAAAGAAGACATTGCTCAGGCAACTGGTTTCCAATCCATTTATTGCTTCTTACCTAGTTAAAATTTTTCTTTTAAGTAACATATTTGTATTGTTCTTTTGAATCATCCATATAACCTCTCCCATCTTTTTATTCCTCATTACAGACTGAAAACTATTCTTTTGACTCCAACTATGTGAATAGCCGAGCTCATTTAATCAAAAGGTATGTCATTTTACTTTCCTGTTTCTTTTTGTTTATTTAATTTAAACTTTTATTTTTGAGTTAACGTACATTTGTAATGAAATATTTCCACACATGGACACGGTGTACTTTGAACAAATTTTCCTAATATATCTACCATGTTCCCATTTTGCTTGCATATTTCTATGGCTGTTTAATTTAATATATAAAGAAAAGCTAATTTGAACTGCTTTTTGGATTTTAAGGAGAACGTTTATATGCTTATTACAGAATTTTAGGAAAATTCAAGAAAAGTATAAAAAGTAAGTAAATATAACTGATAATTCCATCACTTTTGGCATATTTTTCCATAAAAATGGGGGATCTAATGGAGGTGTGGCTCAAGTGATAGAAGAGAACTGGCCATGAACAAAAACCCAACTGAGATCTCTAAGCTTTGAGTTCAAGTCCTAGTACTAGCATACACACAATATTTATGTAAGTATTCACAAAAGCAATATAAATTTAGGATATATTAAGATGTGGCTTTGTTGAAAATTTAAAATTCAATATTAGAAACAGCAATATATTATAAAATTTTCAAAATCATATTGACAGAAAAATTTTGGTTGCTACTCACATACTTTAAAAGCTCTCCCTCATCTGGAACTTCCAGGGAATTCAGAGATTGCTGTTATTTATTCGCTACTTTGACATTTTAAGGATAATTTTAATGATAAACTTTCCTTCTAGAGGAGAGTAAAATGAATTTTCCTGACCCAATACTTATTAAGATATTTTGTAGTGTTTAGAAGAGAAATTTGAAGTAGAAATTTGTATCATCAGTTGCTCTTAATTTAGCTATCCATTGAGTTACAATTCATACAAGTACAGAGCTGAGCTGCCTACTAATAAAGAAGTTTCCACCCAGTTCTCCAAGCCTTAAAGTCATCCAATGGGAAAAGGACAAGGGTTTAGGAAGTCCTCTAAGAAAGAAGAACTGAGACAAGGAGAGAATTTTTGTGCACCTTTCTAAGCAAATCAAAGCAAAGCAAAACAAAACAGTGTTTGGCCATTCATATGATCCACTTATTACTGTTTCATGTAAATAGCCTCTCGAATGATTCAGTGGTTATTCTGCAGTTAAAATTGAGCACTGAATATGTTTGTTAAAATAATAGAAATAAAATGAAGAGGCAAGCAGGGTATATTAGAAATGGGGTAGAGAAGACCTGAAAATTCGATTATTATTCTGGCTCTAAATCCATAAGTTTACATCACTAGAAGAGTAAAATTCTAGGGATAAACTATCCTGCTATAAAAAAAACTTGAAATTGTATCTAATTTAATCTATGATCTGGCAGTAACTCTTAAAATAACTTTAGGTTTACTTGTATTGGTCTGGGAAAGCTTGTAACCTTAAGTGATGATCATTAGTCAACTGAAAAAGACTATCCTTGTATATTACCAGTCTTAACATACTTTGAAATTTTTCTGAGGTGTAGGGGACAAGCCATTTAGAATATTTTCTTGGCCTGAAGAATAAATCAAAAGGTACCTAATTCAAAATTATATGACCATCTTGTTTTAAGAAGAAAGAAAAACTGTCTTTACATGCATTAATTAGAGTGGCTTTGTAGGAGAAATTGGCTTTGTTTTGTACTTCAGGATTATGATTTTCAAAGCTTCTTTTTAAACATACAGTAAAAATAGTGACTTGTTTTATCCTTTTGGGCTCTTTAAGCGAGCTTTTTCTAGGTACTTAGGAATTCTATGACCAGGTTACACTGATAACATGAGGCTATCTTTTTCATAGTCTGGTGGAAAGCTAAGATTTCTGGGGACTCTCATAATTAGGTCAGCCCTGAATAGCCAATTTACAAGGCAGACTGATGAGAGAAAAAACTTATGTTCAAACATTTAGCTTTGGGATGCATGTATTTCCAAAGCAGCTTTGAGACTCATTGGGAAACTGATTTACATGTGCGCACATGTGTGCGCGCACACACACACACAAAGTAATAAATACACACATGTGCATGTATGTGTGAGTGTGCGCACACAGACAGATACATGATACAATATGAGTTTAATGGGCTCTTGATGGAAATGTTTTCTTTCTTTTTTTGGGGGGGGGGTCCAGTCGTGGGGCCTGAACTCTGGGCCTGGGCGCTGTCCCTCAGCTCTTCCGCTCAAGGCTAGCGCTCTACCCTTGAGCCACAGCGCCACTTCCAGCTTTTTTCTTTTTGCTTATGTGATGTTGAGGAATCGAACCCAGGGCCTCAGGCATGCAAGGCAAGCGCTCTACCACTGAGTCACCTTCCCAGCCCCAATGGAAATGTTTTCTGATACTACCTGAAATCAAAGTTTGTATGTTTTTCTTTAGCCAGGGATCATCCTAATTAAGGGAAACATCTGAAAGTTCAGGGACACCTCCATTTTTGCCAGTTTCTATTTATGGAATTTCAAGGGCTTTGACAAACCAGGAAGACCTTGGAATTTATGGAACAAATTGAGTTTAGACATGGGATACCTTGTAAGCTATATTTATCTGGGGAGTAATTATTATAAATGTAAAATGTGAGGAAACTATTAAAAGAAAGTGCTGCGTAAAACTAGGGTGATAAAACCATGTAAAGTTTGTTAAAGTAGCTCACAGCTGTGTTTAAGAGGGGTTCACTCTGTGTGGTTTCTTAAAGATTCACTCCTAAACATGGAAAAAAGCTTCTGTACAGAAACTTCTGAATCTGATTGCCAGTTTTAATTTTATTATCAAACTAATTTCAGCCCAACTTTGAGGGTGTGTTTCCTACCTCTTTTATTAACCTCTATTCAAGTTTTACTCTTCTAAGAGCATATCTTGGACTTTCACTTTTGACTTTTTTGGCTAGACTGTTTAAACACAGTTGTCTTTCACTAGTTGAATAACAGCAGTCACTTACTACCTCTAGTTCTTTCCTGTTTTAATCAGGGAAAGTATCTGACACTCAAACTAGAATGACACAAAGAAAGCTTGTTCATAATGGGATTGTTTATAAATATTTCCCATGGACACTACTTATTTTGGTACTAGAACTAGCAGAGGAGTTGGAAATAGTTGTGAAATGATAAGGAGGAAAGTATGGGGGGAACATTGACTTCACAGTGCTAACAACTTCTGGAGGTGAAGGATGCTGTCATTATTAAGTGGGCCTTGCAGAGGAGGAGAGGAGACAATCAATATCCTAACATCGGTCTTCTCTCATGATCTTATTTCCTGCTATTGTCCTCTTTGGGCTAATCCCAATGGAAAGCTAAAGGGAAAAGGGGTTTTCATAGGCATAAATCAAGGGTGACATAGGTGAACAATGTATCTGGAAGGGAAAAATAAAAATAAATGGCACATTCTCCATAATTTTCTGCAGTGAGGAATCTAGCATTATATCTCGGTAGCTTTAATTTTTCCATAACATCACCTGTGATGTTATGTATACCCAAGGAGAGGAGTTCCAGATTGACAAGCCAAGACAATATGAAATTCTCTCTGGATGTGTTTATTTCCTGCTTCACTTCCTTGCTTTCAGAAAGCCAGCAGTACTTTGCCCCTGCTGAAATATTCTTTCCTCAAGTCTGCTCTCTAGGCTACTGTCTGGTCCTGTAGCGATTTTGATGCATTCTCAAGCAAGGCATGAAGCTGTAGCCAAAAAAGGAAATGAGTAAGGTGCTAAAGGAATGTGGAAAGAAAAATGAGCACTAGCTCCTTACCATGAACAGTGCTTGTCTTTACTACTAAAATTATCTTGGAGTTTTGTAGCATCAGGTATGGTACTTTGTATATAGTAAGTGCTAGCTACTTGTTTGTTGAAAGAACAGAGGAAAATGAACACTAAACTTTTCTTTAAGCCAGGAATTTCTGAGCTTTAATGTACATTGGAATAATCTGAGAGACTTAAAGGAAGTCTCTAGCTCAAATACTAGAGAGCCTCTAGTTTTTACCTGATTCCAAAATAAATTGTGGCACAAATAGTTCAAAAATACTCTAGAATCTTCCTTAGGTTCCTGAACAGTTTCAATACTCTTTTGACTTTCACTACCCTCTTAGTGTCAAATAGGGTTTCTTGAGTGTGTGGTGTCACAGATTAGGAAGAAATGACCTATTTTTTTCATAGTCTTCTGTCTTTTGTAAAAAAGTTCTAGTGTTTTAAAGGGTAAATACAGGTCACAATTTGTGTAATATTTCTATATCAAACATTTTTGAGTAACTCTTGTGTACCCTGCTCTGGGTATTTTCAAATGAACCTATCTCTCAGTTTGCTACCAGAGCAGTAATAGAAACATTTGCAGTTACAATAGCATTGCAAGCAGGTACCCCTAATTTATTGCCCCACAAAAGTTGTTTTACAAGTCTTTCATCTCCCAAGAGGTGCACAGGTAATAAAGCAAGTGAAATAAGCATTTTTATGTCTGGCATAAATTGTTATTTGTTTGAGGCGAATAACCATTTGCCAGGTTGTTTTACAATTTGTGGCATCTTGCTCACTGGGTCTTAAACTGCCTTACACAAATTCAGTCATTAATCCACTAAATGTCCTTACAAGATCAGAGTAAGTGGTACTTGGTTTGTCAAATGGGCAAACTGATCTCTAAATGAGTTAACTGTCCCAAGGTTTGAGGTAATAATGGTATATACATTTTTCTTTTTTTCTGAGAATACTAATTTCTTGTGTCCACACTAACTGTGTTGTTTCCTTAGTATTTAATCCTAAGTGATTTATTTCTGTTCTTTCTGTCACCACCCAAAAAAGACTCTGAGGTAGTTTATAACATTCAGATGCATGTAAAATGAATAATCAAAAATTTAAAAGGCAGATCTAAAGCCAATTAAGAGAAGAGATAGAGATCCCTGGCATCCAGGGAGGTAACTCAGTGCAATTAAACATTACGTTTCCCTCAAAGTTTCTGAGAAGCCAAGACAAAATGAAAAGCACATTGGGTCACATAGTTCTCATTACTCAATAATAGAAGAATACATATTTGACAGGAAAACTATTCTTTCTGTTCCTGAATTTTAGGAGAAATAACATAATGGACAATATTTGATTTGTTTACAGAAAATACAAAAACATTTTAAGTATAAAATTCTTATACAAAGCAATCCTATAAAAGACTATGGCCATCTCATTTTATTTATTTATTTTTTTGCTCACAATGCTTTACAGATTTTATTTTTAAATTTTATTTTATTTTTTGTAAAGTGATTTAAAAGAGGTTACAGTTACATAAGTAAGGTAATGATTACATTTCGTGTCAAAAATTGTTATACCTTCCCTAATTTTCTCCCACTGTCCTTCTCCCCCTTCCCGACTCCCCTTCCCTTCAAGTTATAAGGGTCATTTACAACATAGTGTCTTGTGAGTATGGCTGTTGCATTCGTTCACCATTTGTCCTTTTTCTCAACATACTGTTATTCCCCTTTCCTTCCCCAAATCAAATAAATAAATAAATCAAATAAGACATAAGGTACCAAAATAAAAAGCAGTGACAACAGGGGTAAATGAAAGGAACAAAAAGAAAAAGAAAAAAATAACTTCACATAGTACATTAAAAAAACAACAAAAAACCCTTTTGTTTCCATATCTTATTTCAGTTAGCATCATTTTATATGGTCATATGTACATAGCTATTGAAGTGTTGTGATCCTCTGCTAGGATGAGTCCAAATATAAACTAATTATTACAAATGAGGGAAACCATGGAGCCTATTTTTCTTTGGGTCTGTCTTACTCCACTTAATACGATTTTTTCCAAATCTTTCCATTTCCTTATGAATGGGACAGTGTCATTCTTTCTGATGGAAGCACAGAATTCCATTGTGTATATATACCACATTTTCTTGATCCATTCATCTACTGAGGGGCATCTGGGTTGATTCCATATCTTAGCTATGGTAAATAATGCTGCAATGTACATAGCTGTGCTGGAAGTTTTGTAGCCTTGTTTGTTTGTGATCATTTGGGTAAATGCCCTGGATCATAGGGGAGCTCTATGTTTAGTCTTTTGAGGAATCTCCATATTGCTTTCCAGAATAGTTGAACCAGTTTACATTCCCACCTACAGTGCAGTAGCATTCCTTTTAGGCCATCTTATTTTAATTGTAGCTCAATGAAGGTATTACCATATAGAATAATGATATATTAAACAATAATCACTTATTTACCATGTATTTGTATCTGATAATTCATGTACAATGTCTTATTGAATTCTCAAAGTGGGCATGTGAAGATTTTAACAAATTCATTTTATAGATAAGAAAATTGGGGGGGGGGATGGGAAGAGATGGGAAGAAGAAACAAAGGAGGAAGCTACAATGCTTGATAAGAAATGTACTCATTATCTTGCCCATGTAATTGTAACCCCTCTGTACAGCATTTTCACAATAAAAAAAGAAAATTGAGATACAAAAATATTAGACATCAAGCCCCAGGTTATGGGTTATCGTTTGTTCTAATGACTTCAAGGTTAGTACTATTTTTTTTTTTACTATAGTATACTATAGGAAAATAGTTTAAAGACTCTAGCACAGTTGTTCTCAACTAGGTGTGAGTTGGCAATGCTTTGCTGAAGATGTTTTCGGTTGTTACTTTGATGCTCAGAACAGACACAACCAAGTGTTATGTGGCCCCAAATATCAGTAATGCCCAAGTTAAAAAGCCTTACTCTAAGGGATGGCTAATCACCTTGCTTTTAGCCATTATGTATCTCAAACATGATTTGGAAACTGTTGTAATGCAGTTAATTCAGCATTGAATTTTCTGGTTTAAAGTGGCAGTTTTGTGTTGGTGATTAAATAATATTTCATTATGTTTCAGATACTAGATAATATAGGTTGAAAATTAATCTATTAAAAATGGAGAAGCCTATGAAATTATTTCTTTTTTCTTGCCAGGCACTGGTAGCTCATTCCTGTAATCCTAGCTACTCAGGAGGCTGATTTCTGAGGCTTGTGGATTGAATCCAGCTTAGGCAGGAAAGTTCATGAGACTCTTATCTCCAATTAACTCCAGAAGTGAAGCTGTGTCTCAAGTAGTAGAGCACTTGCCTTGAAAAAGCTCAAGGACAGTGCTCAGACCCTGAGTTCAAGCTCCAGGACTGGCACATGCACCTGCACAAGCGCTCGTGCACATGAGCACACACACACAGACACACATGCACACACACACACACAGACACACACTCACACACAGACACAGTGTTTTTCAGCAGGGCCACATTTTTTTTTCTAAAATAAGACTGAATCTGTTTAAATTGTGAGATTAGTATTTATGGTATGCCATCAAGCTATAAATGGTGAGACACTTTAAATCATGTGTTTCTAGTTCAAGTATGACTTTTTAAATAGAACTATATCTTCATGGGTTCATAAGGCTGAGTTAGTGATGTGACATCATTTGGAGAATCAAATGAGCTGGCCTATTGAGTGACTTCAGTTTTAGTGAAGTTGATGTTCAGTTATCCTTTCTGAAAATAATTAACAAATGGTCAATGCTTCACCCCATCATACTCTTTTTTCTCATAATTACTACTTTTCAGATACTGCCCTCTTGATGTTTTCCTTTTTATATTTCAGTCAACAAGTATTCTACATCTAGGTTGGTCATATGTTAAAAATATGCTGTGATTCTTCTTGGCTTGGTGTGGAAAGTGACAGTGTATACTTTGTGTCCACAGCATAACTCCTCATCATATGCTCTGAATGTTTTTATTAAAATCTTAGAGAGGCAGACAAGTGAATGTTCACGGTTGAACAGATCAATAGAACTTGTAATGTCATCTTTATAACTTTCCCTTTGTGGAGACACAGAAGGACTGTTGGGACTTGTCCCAGTTCAAGCCATGGCATTCTCCTTTGTTTGGACAACAGCACATTTGCTGGAGTGTGTCTTTGCTATAACTTCACTGTCTCAGGAATGCAGTATGTCCTTGGCAAGTTGTTTACCTTCTATGTATCTGTTACTGCACCTATAATGGGAATGCTGGTAGCACCTCTCTTTTATAGAGTTGTGATGATTTAATAAACATAAAACAGTGACTCATGAATAGTAATTATTTAGTAAACATCAGCTATTACTATTTTACTTTGATTGTATAAAACAAAGCTTAAAATGATGACATTCATTAGAGGTGGTTGTTTTAGATTTGTGTTTTACTCCACCTCTCTATAGTAATTCATTGAAAATAAGTGAACGAATATATTAGCTGCATCAGTATCTGATAGTGGGAACGTCTTTGCAATATTAAGCTTCATTATATTTAAACAGCAATTTCTCTTCCTCCTATTTCACTCTGTTGGATAATTCAGCCACTCTTGGCTGCATCATCCTGGCTCAGGAAAAATTTAAAAATCTGTTCTATCATAATTGTAAATTAACATTCTTTCTTCAACCCAGCAGCTCTACCTTCAAGGACCTAGAGGGTAACAGCCTGAAGGATAGTGGACATGAGGAGAGTGACCAGACTGACAGTGAGCATGATGTCCAGAGGAGCCTGTACTGTGATACTGCTGTCAATGATGTGCTGAATACCAGTGTGACCTCCATGGGATCTCAGATGCCAGACCATGGTAAGGGATAGCAAATTTTAAGTTGTAGTAGCAGACTCCAAAGCACCAAGAATGTTTGTAGGCACAACATAACATTACGGAAATGAATCTGTTCTCAAGGTATCTACTGAGCTCACAGTTTAGTAGCAGCTACGGTTATTGAAATGTCATTACACCTAACCAAATTCTTCCTCTCTCCTTCCCAGATCAGATCCTTTAAGATGGTGATAGTGTAGATGTTAGTGTTTGGGCGTTTTACAAGTGGACTCAATATACATATTGATTTTTCTTCAACAATAACTGCAACAAGCACAAAGGAAATGAGCAGATGCTCCCTCACCTATTTTGCTTTAGTTCATGAATTCAGCTGATCAGTTAAGTTGCACAGAACACAGTTCCAATGAGATCAGAGGCGTGAGTTTATTTCCCAATGGTTACCTAGAGAGAGACTGTGTTTTCTGACCACAGATTATCTACTCTTTACTTAGGATAAAAAGTAAGCATCTGAATTTGTCTACAGGACTACTGTTCCAAAATCATCTAACTACCATATAAAATCCGTGTCATTGGTCACAGGAGAGACCAGAGTAAGCAAATGTATGTTAGTCAATGTAAAACATTCTTCTAATGTGAAAAGCAACTCAAAGCATATGTTGAGAAATCAGTGATGTCCTCATGTTATGAAGAAAAGTCTATTTTCGTGAACTCAGCTATACATGCTTTGGCATAAGATGCTATTTAAAAATGGTAGGCAAAAACATTAGTGGAGTTCAGTGAAAGCAGAATGTTCAGATGGTCTTGGGCACAAATGTCATTTTCAATATTTTACTGATGCAAACATGTTATGCAAACTGCCCGTCTTTTTCAATTATGAAGTATGAATTCAATTTGGTATTTAAGCTCAGTGAAGCTTCAGAATGCTTGGCTATGTCTTGAGAGAAGTTAAACTCATGCTCAGCTGGAAACCCTAGTGCTAAAAGTCTTAAAGACGAGAAAACAAAATCTGGTGATTATGTACTGGTCTTTAGCTGTTTCATTTCTCTGTAAACATCATTAATTGCTTTTGTTTGGGGTTGGTAAATGGATAAAATATGCAGATTTATAAAACAAAATGTTTTCTATGCAAAGAAATTAGTGACTGAAGATTCTAATACATTACTTAATCTACTCCCTCTCCAGCAGACCAAAGTGTCAAAGTCCATAATGTAGAGAAGTCACTACCAATTGGGCATTGCTGTCTTCCTTAATTGCTGAATGGTGACATCTGCAGGGGTAATATACTTTCAGAAAACTTTACTAAGGATGAAAGAATTAAACATTTATAAAATTGAAATAGAGACAATTTAATTCTCAGAAGATTAGCAGTATGTTACAGGATGCAGATCGGTATATATCATTTACTAGTGGAATATGTCCCAAAGAAACAGGTTTTTACTTATATCAGAAGAGCTTTTAGCTAGATGCTTTCTAAAATGAAATGCCTTCAGGAAACGTAATTGTCATAATTGATTTTCACTTCATATGTGGCTAAAACAACATATGTTTTCATTTTTTGTCATGTTTATCTAGGGAAACAGTATCAGTAGACTGCAGCTAGATTTTTCTGAGTGTTTCTTAAAAATGGGATGTATTATATACTGTTAGATAGGATAATAATGAAAGTATTCTAAAACAAATGTGTGACAGTGTTTCAAGACTCTCTTGCATATAAGATAATGATCTCTCTCCTCTCCCTGTCCCTCTCCTTCCCTCTCTGTCTCTCTGTCTCTCTGTCTGTCTGTCTCTTTCTCTCTCTCTCTCCTTCTCTCCTCCCCCCTTTGCTTCCTCTCTCTCACACACAAACATTTTGCTGTTTTTGGCAACATTTTTATATTTTGTTTTTCATTATTTTACTTTTATCTTTTTTTTTTTGTATAATGAGCATTTATTTATTCTTTTCATTTTTAATATCTTTAAGTAATTGTACAAAGGGTTTCAACCTATCAATTTATGAGCACAATGAATCTATGCCAATATTACCCCTTCCATTACCCCTTCCCACCTCTCCCAATCCCACACATCTGCTCAAGTTACCTAGTTCCATTTTTTCCCTTATGTACAGAAAACATATATAAGGTCATATGCATATATTCATAAACATAATGTCTAACATATAATATACACATGGGAGGTTTGCAATGTGTAATTCCTGTGAATAATTAACACATAGTTTAACAAAAATGAATATAAAGAATCTCATATGTGTTGGTGGGAGGGGAGAGATTAAGGTGAGTCAGACATATGGATATAGAAAGGGTGGGCAAATACAGTCTTTTTCCATTATTTTAGCAGTGGATACTCCTTGAGTCATCCCTTGGGTTGGACTTTTTCAGTTTGAGTAAGTGACTAAAGTTTATGTACCAAGGGAATTCAGGTCTTTTTTACAGCTCAGGCTCTACCTTGTAATGTCCCATTACTTTTGAAGCTTTCTATAATTAGACTTAATTGTATGTCCAAATCAACTCCAAGATTGCCACAGAGATTGTGTCATCAGTTAACTTGGGTTGATTATTTCTACCTCAAAAATATAGCAGCTATTCCAACAATTAACATATTATAGCATTACTATCTTAAACCTGCATTCCCATAATAAGTGTATCTCAATTTATTCTAAGACACAGTGGTTGAAAGGTATTCAGTGCGTGAATTCAACATGGATGCCTGATCTTGTACTTCTCAGGCTAATCTTTGATCCCAATATTTCTTTTGTTTCTGTAAGAATAACTTCAATGCCAGGTCAAATGTATGCAAAATAATGTACCTTATACTATGGTACTGGAGGTTTAGTTTACCCTGGATTTCTTGCCTGAGGATCTCTCTATAATATTCTAGTTTGAATATTAGTAGTGTATCTTTTTTGCACATGTTTGAGTACATGATTTGTAATGAATGCTAGGATTTTCAAAATAAAGATATATTCATCCATTTTTCAATGATTTGTTCAATGATCTATTTTGACCAGATTAAACAGATGTTCCGCTATTTGAGAAAAGGGTACAAACTGTCTTTGTTCCTCCCTTTCTGATAGACACCTGGGCTCTTTTGCTTCTACACACTGCCAGTTTCTTCAGGGTTTGTTATTTTTTAATTTTTATTGTAAAAATAGTGTACAGAGGGGTTACAGTTACATGAGTAAGGGAATGAGTACATTTCCTATCGAGCCTTGTTACCTCCTCCTTTGTTTATCCCCTTTAGCACAAGAATTCTTAGTGTGCATGACAACAGTGCTTCCTTATGACCCAAATATCTTAATTTTCAAGCACTCTTCTCTAAGAACCTCTCTAGACATGCAAATCAAGAATCACTAAATTAACTGAGGGAAGGAGAATATGTTAAAAAAAAAAAAACAAAATCTTTGTACTCAAAGGACAAAAGTCAAGTGTTCAATCCCTGGCAAATTTGGGTGTTGTTTACCCTTGAGCTGGGTTAGGGTGAGGAGGACTAAGGTGGAGAGAGAATAACAGGAATCTTTGCTTTCTGGATTACTATCAATCTTAGTATCTCTATTAATGAGTCTAAAACCAGGTCAGTAGGTAGATGAACTTGATGAGCCAAATTACCTGTGACTGATTTACAAATTAATTTGTCATCCATCATGCCCATAAATTAAGTCTCAGTTGTTCCCTGTGTTGTAGCTCTTGAGTTCTCAGAAAAGAAATGATAGAGAATTCTTGAACCTGTCCTTTTTCCTCGCATATGGTACTGTTTGGGATGCTGCTATCACTCAATAGCTCTTAAGAGTGTCATGAGAACAAGATAAGTGCTGCTGTTTTGGGACTGTTTATCATCTGATTTGATTTCTTTAGTGATTTGGTGCTTGGATCGGCTCTCTTAACCAATGCCTTTCGTTCATGAATTTATTTGCTAATTTTACCACTTCCTGTTGGGGATGAGACTATTGCTTTATCTAATTCTGACAGTCTCCAAAAAGCAATTGACATTGTTGAGAGCTGCCAGAAGCTCATGATTTTGTTGCATGATTGGAGTTGTTACTAGGTTTGGATCTCTTTCTATCTGGGTTATCTTGATTGAGTTAATAGGCTTCTGGCTTTTCCTCAATTCTTTCTATGACCATTTGTGATAACATAGTTATCCCACTATGCTCACTTAAGTATATAATCTTAATATGAATTTGGGCTTTATTTATGGAGATCTTATCAAAAAACTCGTACACTAGTCCCAAGCCCAACCAAGTTTTTTCAAATCCCTGTCTTTTCAGTCTCTTTCCTTGTGATTTTAATTATTGATTGTAAGTTCATCTGCTATAAAAATGATTTGAATAACTCTAATATGCACCCAGTTTGGAGTTCACTATAACACTGAATTGGTTTCCCTTTCAGGCTAATTGATACCAAATGCAGGCAATGTACAGAAATCTGCAATAATATTTATCTGCTTTTCATATCCAAATGCATCCAAATGCAATATAATCATTGCTTTATTTCTGGAAGTGTAGATGCTTTTACATTTTTCCAAAGTTGTTTACTTATTAGATTCATCACCTAAGTATCATTCAGTAAATTTTCTGTGTAAAACATGGGATTTCAAGAACTCTGTCTGTAACTAGTGTAACTGTTGCTACAAATTAGTCACGAAATGTTCTGTAGTCTGCATTGTATACATAGTGGAGTGTCACCCACCAGTGTATTAAGATGTCTACACTTTCAACACTCTACCAACAATGTGTAATTTCAGTTTCTCTAGGCTTTTAATGAAATTGTGATTCAGGGACTGAACATCCTTTCCTTATCTTCTTACATATCCCCCTGACTCACCTCTCACCTCACTAAATTTTCAAACATTCATTTCAATTAATCTCTTGGCAAAACAGGGAGTTCTCAATGGAGACTATTTTGTGACATTACAAAGCAGTGTGCTTCTAGGCTCCAGAAATGGTAGCAAATACCAGATGTTCATAGAGTAATTGAAAATTCCATTTTATCAGAATAACACTTGCTGTCCAAAACTTTTATCTTTACTTC